ATTCCACTTCTGGGAAAATAAGAAATATGGGCAAAGAAGCATAAGGATACTTATTACAACATTATTTATGGTAGTGAAAATTCACAGGAAACTCTAAGTCTATCATTAAAGAGAATGATGATATAAGCATACTTCAGCATATTTTACAGACAACAAAAATGAAATTGTAAGTGTTTTTAATTTTATGGAACTTCCTTATATAATGTGAAGAGGGAAATGTAGGATATTTCATTAAAAATTACTTTAAGACCCTTCCGATATATACATATAGGAGAAAATAGGCCAAAATATTAACATTAAATAGTGGGATTACGTGTTATTTTCATTTGTTTCCTTTTACTTTTCAATATTTGCCAAATATTCTACAATGAGTGTGGATTTTGTAATTAGCAATACATTAATCATTATTAATTTTTATTTTAATCAATTATTACATTAAAGTCTGGGAAATTATAAATTTCTATTTATTTACAAAATGTATTTAAAGAAAAAGTGATGTTTATTTAGCATCTACTCTGCTCAGCACAGTGCGAATTGCTGTGAGGGATACACAAGAAGAACAAGAACTGGGCCTCACTTTTTAGGAGTTTTCTTCCTTCTTCTATAGGCAGAACCAACACAAGAAAAAATCAGCACATGACATAAGGCAATGTGTGATTAAATATAAAAGATGATGTGCTATAAGCTTTAGGGAAGCTGGGGTAATTTTGGAGGAGTTATTAACGGATTAAGGCCTTCATGGATGGAAGTAGAACCTTCTAGAACTACGTGAACAAGGAAAAGAGACAGGAAGAAGCATAACATAAATGTAAGACTAGAGACAGGATTGGCCTGCTCCTTTTCTCTTTGGGTTCTCCGTCGAATCTTTCACGTACACGTTTCATTTATACACATCCCCTCAAATTGGTGATATTCATTTCTTTTGTGGTCAGGACCTTTCTGTTCTTTCCCTTTTGAGTATGCAGTTGTCCCTTATTTGCAGGAAGTAGCCTAGCACTTTGCCACTCCCACTTTGGTCCACCAACTGGCTGATTCATTATCACGTGGGAGCATGTTCATAATACAGAATTACAGATCACAGAATCGAAAATCTGCACTTTAACAGGATTCATGTGCACATTAAAGCTTCAGAAAGGCTGGCATAGCATGCAACACTATCAGAAACAGGCTGAGTCCTAGGTAAAGGGGGCAGCTGTCAGTGTGTTTGAATAGCTGAGGGACTGACAAGGTCCTCCCCAAATGACATTTTCTACCATTATCCTTCCCTACTTATGTCACGGTTAGACTCAGTCTTTAAAGGCATGATGGGTGATTTGGGAGGACGAGGTATTCGCCAACACTTGAGAAGAAATCATTAACCAGGTCAATCGCAGCAAATGCCTGCTTTGTACAGCACAGAAATAAATGAGGCATGGTTATTTGGATATGCTCAGAGGAAATGAGAGGAAATTACTGTCGAAGTTCTGATAAGCACAGAAATAGAGGGTGCTGGGTCCTCAGGCGGATGAAATGGGCACCGTGAGTGCAGAGGACCTTGACTGGGGAGGTGATGGGGCATTGACTGCATCTTCATCTGTTTCACAATTATGTCTAATTATGTCTGTGTTGAATTATAGCTCAGCTTCTTCCTTTATTTGAAGAATTCCCCTCTACCAGCATGGAATTTTGTTTGTTACCAGCTGAATCCTGCTTCTAACTCTTATTGGCCATGCATTCAAAGTGAGAGATGTTACTTGCAGTGGCTGATGTTACTGGGCTAGGGGTGTGGTACAGAGGCAAGGAAGAACAGGTGGACAAAACCAAAAGCTAGATTCCGTTGTGAAACGGTGACCACCTATTTTCCATCAAATGCCGTTTTCTTCTGAGTTTTAATTGGGCAGTTGCTCTGAGTCACAATGAAACCTTTGCGGTTTTGAGAAGGAGGGTCAGAGCTGTTGATTTGAAATCCAACATTTCTGGTTCGCTTTTTGGTTTTTAGACATGAAGTCTGGTTTCCTGAGGGCAAGATGGATCTTCTTTAGGGCCCCTCAGGTCATGACTGAAGGAGACAGGAGAAGGCAGAGATATGGCAAAACAAGTAATGAAAGTAACTCAAAGGTCATGTCTTGTGAATTTTCTTTAAAGATGTGTAAAGTTAAGACTGATGTGACTAAAGTAAAACATGTTCAGGGAATCCAAAAAGCCAGAGGAAGAATCTCCATGCTAGGCTGAGTTTTCAGAGGTGGCCGGACCCTACATTTCATCATCCTATTTTGCTTCCTCATTAAAGTGGAAAAGTTCAAGATTATCCCCAGCCCACAGGACCAATGCCCAACGACCCTCCAGAGAGATCTGTTATGGGCTATGAGACAGAAAACTTATAAGGCTGGTAGGTGTGTGTTAGCCTCGCAGGATTATTGCCCATGTTTGCCATCCTCAGGTGTTATTTTCTTCATTTACTTTATCAACTAAAGACATCACCAGGATCTGTCCAGCCATTTAAAAATTAGATACACTACATGTAGGAACTCAGCATAGAAATGGGGCCATGGTAGAGGGCTGGAAGTGCTAGAGACAAGAGGGAATCACCTTTAGAGCCTGCCATCTCTATTGCATGCACCTTTACTTTAAGGCTCACTTTGAAAGCTTTATCAATAACTTAACATGGGCACACACAATGATTTCTTTACTGTAAGGAACTCAGGCCTAGTATCCAGATTTGCAGAAGGATACCTGTGCTGAGGAGCTAAGAGTCATTTTCTACAGGACATTTTCCTTTTTATTCTCACTCTACATTCTTACATTTAATAGATGTTTTTGTCCCACTGTGCTTTTACATTTTACATTACAGAGGCCTCTGATGATAAATTAGGCTGTGGTGACTCATAGTTGAAGATGTGTTAACATGTCTACCAAAACCAATCTATGATCCACACATTTTGATGAAATATTGAAGTGAAAGAGTGTTTTACAATGAAACCATTCATATCTAGATTAAAAAAACCTTATGGGAAAAAAGTAGTAAAACATAAAATGTAGTTTTATTTTGATGGGGATCATTCTTAAGAGACAGTTTTATATAGAATAAGTTAATGATTTTTTGATGTGTGATTAAAATATAAAACCGGTGGTGGCATCAGTGGTGGAAGTAAGCAACTAGTGGATTGCTTGGACAACCTACCTCTAAGATCCCTTCTTACCCTGAGACTCTACAATGCAAATGTTGCTGAAGATATAAAGCTACAGAGTATGGTGGCTCATTTAGCATCCCAGAAGGTTTTCACCTGCAGGAAAAGCACACTGCAGTATTCTCATGGGAGCTTTAAAAGCTGTTTTAAAATAAGTAAGTCAATAAATATTTATTAGGCAGCTACTGTGTGCAAGACACTGTGCCAGAAGCTTTAGAAGACTCAAAGGACAAGATTCTTTTCCTCGGGAAGTTTCCAACATTGTATTTTCCCAAATGTCTGAGATCTTATGAAATCTGTCCCCGGAAATTTCCTTGTAAGAAACTCCTTAAAGTTAGAAGGTAACTTTCTAGATATTGCTGAGAATTCTTTCTCTCTAGGAAGGAATATACAGATTGCAGGCCAAAATGCTATTAATAAAAACAAAACAAAACAAAACACCTAGATGTATTCTAAGTAAAGCAATATAGAAATGTCTACTTTACAAAATAATTTACACTATTTAATCAAGATATGAAGAGTACCTGTGAATAATTCTACCAGGACAAGAAGAATAAGTCTTTATGTTAGTAGTAGCATATACTGGTAGAATCACATATACTGTACTATTAAAGAAAACTAACCATTGAGTGCTTCTCTTATTTGGTTAGGACAATGTTTCCCAAATCCTGCACATCATCAGCTGGTGATAGGATGTGGAGGAAGACTTACTCTTTTTTTTTCTGGATGCTCTGTCGCAGAGTGGCAGTCTTTCCCTCCCTACTTTCCTAAGCCTTGTCCCCAGGCTGCTAGTTCATACTAGCCTGTCTTACTTCATATTTCTTGAATGTGTTGCTCTGGTTGAGTTGTTTCTACCTGGTAAAGGCCATAAGAAAACTGAAAATAAAAGTAGGTATTAGTGTCTATTATTTATGAAATATATTCTACAATGATGTTTAGGCTAGGCCAAGAAAAAAATGAGGGTAGAATTTAGAGATTAGATACAAAAGGGGAGAGAGACAAGTAGTCTTAAGATATGAAAATAGAACAGTAGGGGAAAAGATAAATTGAAGGGAAGACAGGAGTCAGAGAAGCAAAGGATTGATTGACAAGTGATACATCAGGAGACATAACAGAAATGTGGGAAAAGAGAAAGTCATAATGGAGAATGGAGAAAGTAGATGCAATGACTACTGATGGTTAAAGATAGCTTAGCATGTAAGAAGTAATAGAAAGATGGGGAAGGGAAAAATAGAAAGCTAAGTATAGAATGGTTGAGAGAGAAAGAAAATAAGGAAGGAAGATAAGAAAGGAAATGATAAAGGTAAAGAAAGAGATAGTGGAAGAAAAAAATGCCCAAAGAGAACATTAACTAGGAAAAAAACTGGCAAAATCTAAAAAAATGTACAATCATCAGAATTATACTGACACATTGACATTGATCTCCATACATAAAATGGAAAGTTCATCTGCTTTTCTGTCTTGCAAAACCAGAGAAGTTTTCAAGTATGGAACTTGGAGAGAAAAAAGAAGAATCAGCAGGCTAAGGGAAACTAACCTAGACAAATGGCCTCCAAATTTCAAGCTGGTAGCGGTGGTAGCCTTCCTGTCTTTTATTTTGTTTTGTTTTTTAAGGTCTGTGCTAATAGTGACAGTACTGGGTTTAGCAAGTCCCAGAGGCCCAGTACCATCTGGGCCACTACTCCTATTGCTGGAGGGGGAAGAAATTAAGAATCACCAAGAGGGTCAGATAGTTAATCAAGTCTGGGGGAAAAGTTTGGGAACCACTGTAGAATATCAGGTATAGAATATCAGGTATTTTCCTTCCCCAAAGGATGCTTGGTTGAGAGACTCCTAGGCCTGAAGTAGTAAGCAGTCTTGCACCTGGTCCTGTGGATTGGTCCCTATTTGAAGGGAATCAAATGGAGTGTGTTCATCTGCATTAAGTGGGTCTACATTTACACTCTGAAACTGGGCCCCAGTGGCTAACCCAGCCAATGAGTCAGGAATTTCAGTAGGCATCATTGAATCTCCATTGAAAGGGCCTTGCCTTCCAATGCTAGATGGAGTTCCAGTGCTGGAGGAGAGATACTTCGCTAATTTGGAGCCAAAGCATGGTAACTGTAGGATGCTAGATGGTCTTTCTTGTTGCCTTTCCCCCTCATTTCCTTGCATTTCCCTTTGGAGTTCTTCTGGATTGGGGCCTTCATCAGGTGTATCAATAACAAGCTGCTCAGGAGTAAGGGCAGCAGTCCTTTCATTGAGCTGGCTGCCTTCTAATATTTCATCCAAAACATTGTTTCCGTCTCCTCCTAAGTCACTTTTAAGACAAGGCGTATTCTTTGATTGAAGGGAACTTGTTTCAGAAAAGGGCATAATTCCTCTTTGGTCCGGTTGATTCTTTATAGAGCAGGGTATGTTCCTCCTCAGAGTAGACACATCATCTCTAAAAGGACTTGGGTTTGGACTTTCTCCAGGCGGTCTATTCTCTGAGCTGTTTCTCTGGCTCGGTAGGGTGCTTGTTGGGGAGATGGTATGCCTGGCATGTTTAGTATGACTATCTTTTGTATACAGAGGACTGGTGTCTTGGTTCTCATGGTTCTCACCTGGGGCAAGGCCAAAAGATGGGGTGTGGTCTTGTAGAGCAAGTAGATTGTCCTTGCGTCCTAGGGAGCCACCAGCACAGCAAGGTCCTCTCTGGCTTAGATGAAATAAATGTGCATCTTTTGGACCTGATGAGTAACTTGGAGGAATTAAGTCCCGGGGAGTCAATTGTTCACCCTCTGGTGAATTTAACCTAGTAATCTGCACTCCATAATTCAAATTCTCACCTTCACGCCATGTTGGATTTTTCTGAAGCCCAGCTGGGGAGTTACTAGAATACTGCTGGTTCTCCTTCTGGTGCGGTGGACTAGGAGGGGCTTTATGTACATGTGTTGGCTGATCCCAGAAATTTCTGTTAAAATATGGCCTTCTTTCTTTTTGCCCTTGGGCTTGTATTCTAGGGTCCCAGGAATTCCAAGAAGGAAACAGAGTGCTTTCTTCTGGTCCAACAGGGCTATTAGCATAATAGCCCCTGTTCTCCACAGGCGGTGGTACAGTGGGAACTGTATTATATGATGGAAAATTCTCATCTGGATTCCAGGGGTAAAATTCACCATAAGGAAAATCTTCCCTGGGTTTCAATGGATTATCTAAGGAATAGGGAAGGTATTCTTTTGGTTGATTTGAAGTATAATGTTCACCTTCATAGTGCCTAACTGTTGGGCTTTCTTTAAAGCTTGACTCTTCCATCCCCCATCTACTTTGTCCTGGGAAATGTTCGTCTCCAGTTGGATCAATTGGGTCCTCTTCATGATAAGGGACTGTCTCTTTTGGGTCTGGAGTATTCATGGGGTACAGCGGATTTTCGGGTTGCCTCCTAGTGTTGGGAGAATCATCTCTCTCATCCCATGGATTGCTTCTAAGGTATGGTGAGCTTTCCCTGGGATCATAGGGGTTATAGTCAGGGTAGTACACACCTCCTCTTAAGCCATGGGAACGATGAGGTAAGAGTTCCTCCTGCCTCCCAGGATCTTCCTTAAAAGATGGAGAGGTTTCTTGGTGGTTCCAAGTATTTCTTCCTGCAGGAAAATGTTCCCTTGCAGGGGAAGGGATTTCCTCACGGTATACAGGCTGATATGTACTGTGCTTTAATTCTGGCCGATTAGTTTCAGATTCATATGGGATCCTTCTTGGCTCTAAAATAATCCCTTTGGGCAAATTCTGATTTTGGGTTTGCCCATCAGAATTTGGGGCTTTTCTGGAATCTCCTCTTGGATAATAAGAGTTTTCACGTTGATCAATTGAATTAAAATTTGGGACTAGCATGTTACCCTCAGTGTGAGGCAATTTATAGTTTGATTTATTAACTCCATAATCTTGAGAGTTTCTCCAGGGGCCAGTTGGATCCCGTGTAGGAATGACTATTTTTTCTTTTTGACCTAGTGGCTTCTCTCTTGGATTTTGGATTTTTTCATTACGGCCAACAGTACCATGTTTGGGACCCAATGGAGCAACATTGGTTCCCATAGGGTGTTTATTTGGCCCTTGAGGCTTTCTTCTGATATTTGCTGGATTTCCTGCATGATTGGGAGAATTGCCTCTTGCAGTGGAAGCATAAGGTTTGCGATAAATTGGATTTCCTGGACGAACTGCTTGTCTGACTTCCCAAGTGTAGGGGTTCCACCGAGGACCCCTTTGGACTTGCTGATTTCGGTAAAAAGGCCCATTCTGTCTGTGCCCAATAACAGTACTAGTGGGACGCCATTGTCTTCCTGCAGGAAAACTTGGGGCGTTAGGATTTGGGTAGTATTCATAAATATTTGGCTGACTTGGTCCCCATGGGATTTGACTTCTTTGTGTCCCCTGGCCTGAAACATTAACTGCCGGGGGTGGGACGACCCCATTTTGAGTTGTAGGGTTGCTCGCAGTGTTCGGCCCATGGCCACTGTTTCCTGTTGTGCTGGTGTCATTTCCGCCCTGACTCCCTCCTGGATTTGGTGCATTAGGTTGGGTAGAATTAGTCCCAGGAACTGTTGAATTAGATGAGGGTTCAGTGGCTGGGCTCTCTGTTTTAGGAGGGTCTTTTTCTTTGGGTTTTTCAAAATCTTGTTCAAACATCTCTTCTGAATAATAAGGAGGACGACCTCCAAATCCATGATATCCAAAATATCCAAAGTAAGGATTCTGTAGAGAAGAAGATGGACATCAATAATTATTCTTTGTTTCCCACTATAGTGTTGTTCAGAATTTTTTAACATGATAGGGAAATCTTATCAGCTGTGTGCTCCTTCTAACACTTTTGGCTATGCTTTTGTTCTTGAAATTTAATTCCTTCTGGGTTTCCATGACCCTATTCCCTTCTGGTTCTCTTTTCTGGTACTTGAACTTTTTGACCATTATGTCTCAGCTTTCTCTTCCTAGACCTGGATTCTAAATCTGAGGTGTTTTGTTTTGTTTTCTTTTTAGAGTTCCCTCCTCCATCCTCCTTGTTCTTCTGTTCTCATCTTACACATCTGCCTTAACCAGTGACTCCCAAAGCCCTAACTCTGGCCCACAGCAGTCTCACTTGTGGTTGAGACAGCAAGCTGCTTCACTTAAGACCTTATGAGCACCTCCAACTGAATGTATTCAGACTGGATTCACTTCCCCTCCAAATGTCCTTCTACAATATTCTATTTCTAAGTAGCATTTACCACTATCTGCTCAGCTTGCCAAGTTTCTGCTCTCTCCTTTATGTCTCCCAGACAATTAATGACCAAATCCTATAAAATCTAAACTTTCATCTACCTCTTTTGTCCCCTCCTCCTGTATCTCCAATACCTCTGAACTATTGCAATAGTTTTTATACTGGTTACTGTAGATGTAATTTTACTTTAATCTTGCCCTTTCATGGCCATAAGAGTAGTGGAGGTAGGGGATGGGTGTGTGGGAAAGTTCTGTCACTTTCCTCTTTAAATATTATTTAAAGTTGCCTTTACCTTACAGGATAAACTCTAACCCCCTTGGCTAACATACAAAGCAGTACAGCATGGTACTAAAGGGTGGGGATCTAAACAGATATGGGTCAAAATCCCAGTCCCACCAGAATTAGTAGTATGACTCTAGGCTAACATGAGTTTATTCCTTTGAAAAATGGAGATAATAAAATAATATCTACCTTATAGGTTGTCATGAGGGTCCAATGAAATAACATGTAAAGAAGCTCAGTAGCTGGACTTAGTAAGGGCCTAATAAATGTTATACACTGAACAATAATAGTAATAATAATAATAAATAATTTTCAATAGTCATGTGGTCCGTAACCATTACATCCAGCCTATTTTCTCCCCCTGTACTTTTTGCAGTTGTAAATCACAGCTACTTGCAGCTCTATTCATGATGACTAAGACATAGAAAAAAACTAAATTTCCATTAATTGATGAATGGATAAGGAAAATGTGGTATAGACATACAATGGAATATTATTCAGTCTTAAAAAAAGGAGAAAACTGCAATATACAATAACATGGATGAGCCTTGAGGACATTATGCTAAGTGAAATAAGCCAGTTACAGAAAGACAAATACTGCGTAATTTCACTTATATGAAGTATCTAAAATAGTTAAGTTCACAGAATAAAAAAGTGGAATGGTGATGGCTGGGAGCTCAGGGGACAGGGAAATGGGGAGTTGACTAATCAGCAGGCATAAAATTTCAGTTAAGCAAGATGAATGAGCTCTAGAGAGTTGTACACCATTGTACCTGCCCTACAGTCAACAGAACTATATTGCACACTTCGAAATTTGTTACGAGGGTAGATCTCATGTTAAGTGTTTTTACCACAATAAATAAAATTCTTAAAAAAAAACACAACTACTACCCGTTCTCTGAATACTCTGTTCTCTCTGTGTTTCAGTGCCTTTGCACATGGCTTCTTCATGTTGAACCTTCTCCTCACCTACACATTCATCCCTCATAATAAACTTGACTGATCCTCAGGACTCAGCCTGAATGCTCCCTTCTCTGTTCTGATTCCCATGGGCAGAATTAGGCTCTACTTCCAGGTATCCACAGCAACACAGACTTCTGCTATAACAATTATCCCACTAAATTTCAATTGCTTAATTTCCCCCACTTGATTCTCCCAAGTAAAGTTTTTGAGTGAAAGCGTTCTTCTCATCTTTGTTTTCTCAGTACTTAGCACAGGGGGAAATGCTTGATAAATTTTTGTTTAATAAATGACATAATCATAATGAGCTCTGCCAGTATGTTTGTTAGACATTTGTGTGGCACTTAGGTTATTTAGTTTTTCTTTTAAAACAAGTACAATTTAGAGGAAAAGTATTTTTAATCCCTACTTGTGGATGCAGATGATGAGACAGATGGGGTGAGATGTCTCTGACATCAAGCTGGAAATCTGGTGGTGTCCTTAAGAGGTGGAATACCGATTTCTTAATGTCTATGCTAACTGCCTGGATTATTCTGCTTCATTCTCTCATGTTACATTTGTGAAAAATTTGAAGTGCCAGTTTTGAGGTTGCATACAATTATCTGACTCATTTCTATTTGGGGTTATTTCACAATGATACTTTTGAAAGCACCTTATGCCATTACTAACAGTAATTTTCAATGTCATTATGTAACCTCTCCCCAACCCCCGCCCCCCCAAGAGCTATCAGGTTTCTGCATTTCATGGTGAGCATATCACATATCTAGGGAAAAAGAGGAAGTAAACTCCAGGGGTGGGGTGCTTCATCACAATCACTGCAATGACTGTTTTGATGATACAGTGCTAGAATATTGTAACATCAAACCATGCTGTGACATGTGTTTGGCCCTTCTCCTAGTGTGGTGTGGTAAAGTCATTGGACAGGATGTCAGAAGACTTGAGTTCTGGGTCCACTTTATCCATCTCAGTGGGTGAAATTGAATAGTGATTTATCTTCTGTGGATTTCAATATATTTGTACAGTGAGGGAATTAGATGATTATTTAATTTCCTTCAGGGGATAAGACAGATGGTTGAGGAGATGTCTCTGACATCATGCAGGGATCTAAGATGCTTTCAGTTCCTTCTCTATTTACTAGTTGCTCCATCACTGCCTAGGGTCTAGCATCAACCTGGAGCATAAGGTATTCAGTTAGCTTTCTTTGCGGGGGGTGGGGGTAAGGAGGGAGGGAGGGAGGGAGGGAAATTTTAATATGTAGAGGAGAAATGATATATCACATTTATTTTATTTTAGGTTACTGGCTTGATTTGTTGCACCTTTTTTTCTTATATCATGGGTCCTTGAGGTACAGGTTCATATGTTGGATTGTAACTTTCTTAATAGGTAGGGATCCAAAAAACAGAGACTAAAGGATTGTAATTCCTAATGGAGGATTGTAGCTTTACTTGCACTTACCCCCCCTTCTTCATTGCTGACTGGTGGACGTCCATAACCCGGTGGTACCCGCTGAAAGGTGAAAAACACAATGAACACAAGAGAAAACCACTTTCTATACTGCCATTTGTTTGTAAAACTCAAGGTATCTTAAAATAGTTCATGTCAGTGATTGGGTGTCAGCAGTGTTAGCTTCTAAGTCATTAGCTCTCACTAATCCAGCTATTAATAATTACAGCAATAATTATAATCCATCAGTGAATACTGGTAAATAAAAGGCTTCAGCTGGATCCTAGATTACCCTACTCAAAATATCATCTAACAATCACCCTACCCCATCACCTTCAACACACACACACACACACACACACACACACACACAAAGACAGAGAGAGAGAGAGAGAGAGAGAGAGAGAGAGAGAGAGAGAGAGAGAGAGATATTTTTGTGTGCTATTAGGGTCCAAACATCCATATTAGAACATACAATAATGGAAGTTAAGTAATCATGTTATTTTTAGAATGTCTACTTTGCATTTAGGGTGACAAATTGACAATCATTCCTGGATTATTGCTATAATATTTTTATTTGACCAAGGTTTATTTTCCTAATCAAATTTGGAGGCCGAGTTTCTACTCGGGGTAATGTTTAGCAAAGCAGTTTGGCTCCCTCAGACCTTCAAGAAGTTCTGTGTCGATGAGATTAATAGTTACTTCAGCATGAGAATCATATTCATCTGCTTTTTAAATTTTCATCTGGTACTGCCTTAGTTTCCTTAGTACAGTGTGGCCAGTAAATGGAACTAACTTTTTTAAGAAAAAAAATAGTAAGGAACTCTTACTTCTTGAAATGAATTGTTCCTTGTTGATAAGAAGTCTTCTTGGTTATAGAATCATAGACAAGAAAAACCAATGCCACAGCTGAATCAAGGGTCATCAAGTATTTTATGTTGTTGTTTTTGTTACTTTAACAGCAACTGGCTTTTATATTTCTTTAGTTCAAATAGTTTATTTTGCAATTCATATTTTTAATGCCTATGATGCAATTTCAATATTGTTTTATTTTCATGATTTTAAACTTTAAAAAATTCTTGTAAACATTATTTTGTAAGATTTTCATGATGAAATATCTGTGGTTAGAAATAATAAGATATAATGGAAAGATCTATGTCTAATCATAGTTTATCTTATGATTTTCAAGCTCCATTTTGTTCCAATTTCCCCATTACATTAAATGAGAATAATCTTTGTGTTTTCTAATCTTTTTGAGGATGTGGGGAATGGTAATGACATAACACAACCCTTTAAAATGAATTCATTAACTAAGTTATAAGTAGTTGTTTGGTGATTTAGGCTGTGTTCATGTCACCAATTTGAGTAAAAAATTCACTTAAAAATTCTTTTTTTCCTACATAATTACTAATGTGATGATTTTGCTTTATATTATCTGCTGATTGGCAGATAGCATTTCATTTACAGTGTATGAACACATATCAGTTTGAGATACAACATTTCAATATTATTTTTTATTTCTAGTGTAAAGAAAAAAAAACTCACATGTGGAACTTGCCATGGTGGCTGTTGATAGGGAAAGAGCCCATTGCCAAATGGTGGGAATGCCTAGAGAGAAAGAAAGAATTAGAGTGACATGGAAGTGAGCAGAGTAAATGAAAAATGAAACAAACTTATTAAATACAATTATTTGTAACTTGGGAGTCTACATCTCCCTTTTCATTAAACTGTGATTTTTTTAACTTTAGGGCAGAGACGATAATAATAACAACAATAATTAATATTAGTATTGTTGAACACATGTTCTAGGTACTGTGCTGACATTTTATACTGATAAACTCATTTAGTCCTCACATAACCATAGAAGATATTGCTATTATTATTCCCATTTCACTTAAGATTTCGAGGTTCAGAGAACTTAGTCACTTGCCCCAAATTGCATAGCTGGTAAATGATTAAAGCCAGGGTGAAATCCAGGAGTGTCTTTTTAATAAACTTTGTATTATCTACATCTACAATAGTGTCTGATAATACAGTATTTTAGAAACTCCTCACTAGGTGAGAGCTTAGAAAACCAATTGTACATCTTGCTTTAAGTGAGGACTAGACTTATGGCATCCTGAAGTGCTAGAAGCAGTGCTACCTTTTAGGGCAATATTTTAGATCATCAAAGCATGGATCTTGGAAAGGACCTAAAGATGATTTTGTTTACTTGTGGAGAACCTTGAGTCCATACAGATGAAGTGACTTGCTCAAGATTGTACAACTAATAAGGGCTGAGGGTAGAACTCCAATCTCTGTTCCCTGACTCTTCTGTTAGAACTCATGTTGCCTCTGTATTTTAAAAGGAGCTTCTTTAAGGCCAGAGTGTTTGGGTAATTTTTAATCAAATGAAGACTGGAGTTGACTCACCAGGCAGTTTTGGATAGGTGGTGACAGCATCACCTTGGAAGAAAGTGTCAAAACTAAAGATCATATTTCATACACAGCAGTACCCGTATTGAGGAGCACTAGAAGAAGTATGTATGTGGGCGTAGCATGGCCTTCCAAATCCCTGAGGCCACATGACTCTGGTTTGCAATTTTTCTGGGCAAACCTCACCTGAGGTGGCTGGGCTTCCTCTTGGGGATCAGTTGGGGCAGCTGGTGGCTGCTTTAAAGGCCTCTTTGGTGGTGGCTTTTTTGGTTGAGGCTGGCTGGGTTTCTGGGTCTCTTGGGTTTGATCAGTCTTGCTCTGACGTTTGGTTGCTGAAGGAGATGAAGGTTTTTGGGGGTGCCCCATGTTGGGTGGTGGCTGAGGCCACATGGGCATCTGGTACTGTGGGTAGAGTTGAGGGAGCTGCACACCATTTCCATACAAGGGGCCCAGTGGTGCCATCTGCAGGGGTAGCAAACAACAGGAAAATCACACGGAGCTGAGATCTGGCTCTCCCACTCTCAGTATCAGCCTCTAAAACAGCCACGGACCTTAAAAATCCTATGGAATGTAACTCAATAATGGGAGCTTCAAGGTTTTTAGCTAGCATTCCTTTAAATGGTGTCTTACAGAAATAAATTTCAGTCTTCTAGTAAACCAACCAAACAAATAAAGCAAAAGGCAGAATTGGGTGAGAAAATTCAGTTTAAGAATTTGGCTGATGATTTTCTACATCTGCAGCCTTGACTCAGGTTAGAAGTGTACAAGTCAGTTTATAGAGGAGTTGATGTCAAATTCAAAACCCCAGTGACTTGTCACAGGCTGGACAAGGAGGAAAAAAGCAAAAAGAAGATAAAGTGAGAGTTAAAAAAAAAAATTCTGCATGTGAAAATACCCTTAATGGTGCCTGTGCTTCTTGATTACAAAGGTGAATTCTCATTAATTCCATTTTCATTATCAGACTCTCCACAGTTATTTATAAGGTTGTCAGGGAAGTAAAAGCAATTATAATTTGAAAATGCTAATTTATGAATTGACCTCTTACAACATCAGTTCCCATTCAAATAACTCCCTCTCTGGTTTAACACCAGTCTCTATCTCCCTTCTTCATTAGTCCATCTGTTCCTGTCTGTTGGATGATGTATACACAACACAGTACAAATGTCATGTGGATTGATGGAAGGCAAAATTGCAAATCTTGCATTAAGATTCAGTATTTCATGACAATTAAGTTGGTGAAAATTTTAAATCACAGACAAAATCACTAAACTGAGAATTAGAGTTTAAAAGAGTTGGTCCAATCAATAGTTGAAAAAAATTGACAATGATGATAATTTTAGGTGAGGGACTTTAAAAGAGAATGACTTGAATAAAAAGAATTAAGAGAAAATAGATGAAGTCCTTGATTCCCTTCCAAATTGTTCTCATTATCATGCCACAAAAGTCAATAGTAACATATGGTATTATTGTATTATAATACAATTTTGTCAGACAAATTATGCCAAAAGAGCCAACTGATATTTAATTTATTATTAATTACTTTTAATAAATTTTAATAAAAAAGAACAAATTTAATAAAAAGTTAAAAAAAAGAAAAAGAAGGAAAAAGTCCTAATGGAAGTCTAATTGACCCAGATGCTCTGCTGTGAGCACATTTTGGTCTGATAGATGCTGTCAAATAATAGGAAAAGAAAGCAATCCTTTTTTACATGCATAATAAAAAAGTTGAACAATAAAAAAAAGAATTAGCACATAGTGGTAAGTATAATCTAAATTTATTTAAATAAAGTTACTTAATAATTTTAGTGTTATCTTTCAAGATAATCCACATAAAATTGATGCCCCCCAGCAAGTACTTGCTATGCTATCTTTTGTTCTCATTGTCTGTGAATATATCTTGTATGTTCTTTTCCCAGACCCAATTTCTCTAGGATTTAAAGAACTCTTGTAATTAATAAATTATTTTTATTTACATGAAAGAACAATAATAATGAATAAGAAGAAAATTTGGTGTAAGGTGACAGGTGAAATCAATTTTCCCCCTTGAAACTCATAATGATTATATTGTAATTAAAACATGTAGATAGCTATTGGTGTCTGTATTAACTAAGACAAACTGTATAATATAATTATCTGTATATAAACAAAAAAGTCACCAGAAATAATATAAAGTGGAACTTACATGTGAGGGGTTCATAAAGTTGAATTGACTATACCGCATCATCTGTAAAAAAAGGAATCTATTAATGTGGCACAAAGTGAAAAATTTTCATTCAATGAATCCAAAAATCATAAGAAATAAGTTGAATTTCTGACTTTAAGGTGCAACAGTCATAATGTCTTTTATTAGTTATGCATAAATTTAAAATATATAATTAAGAAAACTTCTATAGCACTTTAATTTTTAACTCAAAATTTTATTTTGAGAAGAGTCAATATAGAATAATAGAGAATAAAAACCTTGTCAACTTTGAAGTTGTTGAATGTTCAACTCTTATTGTTTCAGAGTTCAGAATTTGAGAATGTAGTAATTCTATGAAAAAATGATTCTCCTTTCTGATGTGTAGTGAATTTGGCTAATGATCCTGGGTATGAGTCATGTAAAAGATATTTATGTGCTTAAGTGCCTGCTTTCTAACATTCTTTGGTACAGATGTCTGTCTTTGCTAGCTTAAAAATAGCAAAAAAGCTAACTTTAACTATATTTTAACACAAATTCACATTAACCTTATAAAGGAATGTTGAAGTACATAGGTAGAATGATACTGGGGAAATTACTACTTTGCCTTGATTTGAGAGTTTAAGTCTTTTCAAATCTCCCCCCTTCTACCTCTTTCATAAGAGATTTTATATATCCAAAAGTTTTTCAATATTCCCCCCCTTTTTTTTAATGAACTCCGAGGGCAGGGCTCTGGAAAACTCTCCCTAGAGACTAACCATACCTACCTCCTCACTTTTACTGCTAAATCCAGGCATTCGGGGCATTTGCATCTGGAAGTGAGAGAATATGGGTGACAAATTCAGAACATCAATTGAAATAAACCCAATAATTCTCTCCAAGCTATGCAACAGCAGAACACAAAGAAAAGTCCTAAATTCTTTTTAATACTCACTGGCATAGCAATGGAATTACCAAGCAGACCTAAAAAGATCAGGAGAATCTTCATTTTTCCACTTGGTACCTGGAATAAAAAACTGGATATTATTTTTGGACTGTGAAATAATTATGCTTGGGGCACTCTGTACTTATCTAAGCATTGGCCCACCTGTCTGTCAAGGAGAGACAGAAATAGATCGTGATGGGGCCTGCTGCCATTTTTACGTTCTATTAAGAAACTATTAGATAGTTATTACCTGGTACTGTTGTAAGATGCCAAAGGGTCAGATTAAAAAGGAAAGATGTGTGTGTGTGTGTGTGTGTGTGTGTGTGAGAGAGAGAGAGAGAGAGAGAGAGAGAGAGAGAGAGAGAGAGAGAGAGACATTGAGAATTGGAGATATTGATGCCTGAAGAGATGGAAGATGGTTCATAGCACTGGAATGTGGAAATTAAAAGTTTACTCAAAAAATATGAATATTGAAGCTTTTGAGTTTCTAGTTGCTAGGCTGGTTTAGAAAGGCATAGTATGTCTGACTATATTCATTGTTCAGAATAGTCTCATTTTTTTTTAATTTTATAGTTTATTTGGGTGACAATGGTTAGTAAAGTTACATAGATTTCAGGTGTACAATTCTGTAATACATCATCTATACATTACATTGTGTGTTCACCACCCAGAGTCAGATCTCCTTCCTTCACCATGTGTTTGAGCCCTTTTACCCTTATCTACCACCCTCCTCACTCTGTTGGAAGCTGAGCAGGGTCGGGCCTACTTAGGACTTGGATGGGAGACAGAATAGTCTCAATTTCAGTGAAGGCACACTCTTAAATCAGTATTTTTGGTTACTTTCTAAGATGCTACAGGCAACATTCCATTATATAGAGACTAAATAAGCTGGAATATTCCAGTATCCTATCATTTTCTTCTTTCCTCTATTTTTTCTTTATTATTGTTGTTATTATTATTATTATTATTATTATTATTTTAGCTTTTAAAACATCACTTTTGCTCAAGGGCTGATCAGAGAAATAGGAAAGCAGGCAAAACTATGAATTCAATCTCTTTGTTAGTACTTTCATTAAACATATAGAGGTAAAGATTGAAACTATAGATTTATATATGAAATTTGGAGATTGTTTTCATGGATTTCATTTATCCCACTGTAATTAATTATACTAGATTTGTACAATTAAGACGTTTATTTACATCTTGAACAAGGTTTATTCTGAAGCATTTCCTTGGGTAATTCCTTAAGAAAACTCTGTTCTCTTTGCACATACAATAAGAGGAAAATCAAGGTTTAATCAGAATGATTTATTTTCATGATATATTAGATAAAACACAATTCCTAGCATGGTAACCAGCATATAGATACCAGTAGTTTTTCATTCCTTTTGTTCTTTCTTCCTTTTTCTGAACTTGAAATGCATCTAGCAGTGATCTGAGCCGATGCTTGCCCTTTGGCTTGCGTCCCACAGGAGCAAAATAATTAAAGGACACGTCAACATTTTCCTCAACTCTACGTGTAATCAATTACCTTTTATATATCAGAGAACTGGGAGAGTGTAATTAAACAAAGGAAGCAGTAATATGTAAATTCCTTTCTTCCTAACTAAAGATTTTCAGAATCACAACACTTTAGGGAACTAAAAATAACTGAAATTAGTGTGTGTATTATAGGCTACAACAACACAGGGAAGCTAATAAGGAGAACATTGATGAATGCTTTTCTAAATCTACATTCTAAGATTATGGCCTAAGATTTTGGGGGAACTTTTGGACATTTAATTTCTCTTTTGCTTAATCATCCATTTAATCAGCTTAATCTCTATAGTAGCTGTCACAAAAATTCTTGGTAATGTTACGTACTCATGTAGGAAGATGTGGTCTTTTCTTTTGCAAATATAAAATGCCACTCATTTTCTTTTTTGTAAAATTAATATGTTATGTTGGATGATTTTTAAGATTCCTTCCATATCTAAAAGTTCATGACTAGATGGGAGTCTATGATTATTTTTTTTGAACTGAAAATAACACTCATAATGCTTGCTATGAAGTACAGTGACCGTGGAAGTTCTTACTTCTTCCTTTCCAGCAGTGACCTCAGCTGCTCTGTTTCTTCTGACATATGTACATAGTTTTTTATCCCCTCAAGTGTACTTCTGACCACATTTAGTTTGATATGTAATCTGTGTGTATTAGGAAAAACGAATGAAAATACTCACCAAGTTATCTAGCTTAGGAAAAGGGGCTCCGTGACTGCACTGAAGCAGCAACATGTTTTCACTGAAATTTTCATAAGCCTTTAAGAAAAATACAGATTTGGCATGAGAAGAACCTCAAATAGAGAAATGAAACAAATCAACTAAATGAATAGCAAAGCATCACTCTACAGCAGCACATGTCATGTTAATTATTTTATCATACCCTTATTAGAAGGTTTTCAAAATCATTGTTAATCTTCTTTTGCTTTAAGGGTAGGTTGAAACCTAAATCAGAGAGAAAATGACTTGGGCAAATATTTTGAAATACTTCTAGCAATATGACAAAACCTGACTGTTCTATGGGGAAATGTACAAAAGTACAGCATTAAATGAGATCTAAGTAGGTTGAAAGAAAACTTATAAAAAAAACAAATACACCAAATAAACCAAGGAGTTTAAAGTTTTATAAGATCAGTCTGAAAACAATGACTATATAACCAACATCAAATAATGCAATAAGGAAGTCAACCAACATTTATGAATTAAGTTCATATTTTGGCACTATATTACTTATGTTCATAATCTCTAATACTCACCCAATGCCAGTTAGAAGCTCCGATAACATAAAAAATTAACTTTTACTTAAACTTGGTTAACCTGTCCTTGAAATATATTCTTAATGATCTACAGTGGAAATGACTACAAATTGCTGAAGCTAGGGCTATCTCAAGGAGCAAGACACATTTATTTCTTAATAATAAAACAAAAATTCTTCATTGAGATGTTCTGTACCAAAAAGACTAAAATAAAAAGGCTCCTCCTTGTCAGAAGAGCTGGGATAGCAAGGTTACATTTAAGCACTGTTGCAGACCTGCGTAACCAATCAGCTTTAAGAAAAATGGCTTTGCCATCACAAGAACTTATGGTAAAAAAAAAAACACATCCAATGTAAAATTTATAATGTGTTATTATAGGAGCTGTCAAATCAAGTCTCTTATTATGTATAATAACAGTCCAGAAAAATGAAGTTTCAGCAGTAAGATTTAGAAGATGCTTTACTTGATGGATTTTGGGCTTTTCAAATGTACAAAGATGTTTAGGGAACAAAGGTGAATGCTAACTATATGCTAGTGCCATAAAATATTGATCATCAAAAGGCAGGCCAATATATGTATTTAACTTAATACATTTAGTTAATATATATTTAACATAAAATTAACTGAAATGTTATGTTCATGGACAACTCATGGCTTGATTTGATTCAAATTACATAAGCCTATCAGGACACAGTATTCTTTCTGAAGTCAAATATAGTTCAGTTACTTGGGATTCAGAGCTTTAAAAGAGCTGGGCAAAATACCAAGTGAACTCTCAGCTGTTATAGACAATTCAACTTCATGAAAACATGAGTTGAGAAATTCAATGAAGAGCTTATGTTATGATTCTTTTTTTTAAATCTGACTTTCCATAATAAAGACTTCTAAATAAATAGGACAATTATGCTTTTCATTGACAAGAACAAGCTTTGCTATTTTTTGCTGAACTTTGATTATCCTGTTCTCTTATCGCTAGCTCCATGAGAGGAGACATTTATAGTGGTGATATTTGCTTATTTTAATGTTAGCACTTAAAAATTAACAATGTTTGAATTTGTCAACAAAAGCTGGTTTCTACTTGGTAGAATTGTGTACATCAGTTCCTCCAGTTCTCCCAAGGCATGAAAAGTGCCACGTCCTTCCTCTTGGGCAAAATAACACTACATTTCTTAGCCTCTCTCCCACCCTGAATTTAGTACCACAAAAAATAAAATCGCTCCAGAATATTTGACTTGAAACTCTATATTTTAAGTCATGTATCCAAGATGTGCAAAGGCATGTCTGCTCCAAGTGCCTGGCTGTCTTTGTTTGATTTTGTAGAAACTGAGTAGAAATTATAATACTGCATGTACTGTATGTACATTGAGATGAATTTGCAAGGGATAGGACACCTTGGGGACAGTGTAGCATGGAAGTGAAATGAGAATTGTGATGCTGGATGACCCTGGCCTCTGCCTGTGCCCTTTATGTTGAGGTTGGAGTTTTGATTTTGGCCTTAGCCATGTAGGTTATTGGACATTGCCACTAAACCTCACTTTTGATCACCTTGTCTATTTACCCTTGTTCCCTTTGCCACAAGGGTGGTTAGTGGTCATGAAATAATTCATGTTTCAAAAATCCAGCTAAGCTATTGAATGGGTGAACTCTTAGTAGTGTGGCTCAGATTGAGAAAACAGCCAAATCTCTTTTGTTAAAAACTCTAAAGAGGCACTTAATTCAATATAATATTTGAAACCAGTTCTTTGTGATCCCTCCCTTACTCCAATAATATCTATTTATTTTGTAAATTTTTTTTCCTCCAAACAATTATAATTGTTTTGTGAACATTTTTATAATTTGACTTTTTTTTTTTAAGATTTTACTGAGGAATAAGGAGAGGGGAACAGTGTTGGGGAATTGGGGAAGGGCAATAGCCAAATTGTTGTCCTTCAGTCTTAGTTGTGGAGGGTACAGCTAGCTCAGTTCCAAGTCTAGTCGCGCTGCTCAGCTCAAGGTGCTGTGTTCAATTAGTTGTGGGTGGGCATAGCCCCCATCCCATGTGGGAGTCGAACCGGCAGCCTTGTTGTTAAGCAGATAGTGCACATTCTATCCCTTGAGCCACCTAGTTGGCAGCTCAGCTCAAGGAGCCGAGTTCAGTCTTATTGCGGGTAGGTATAGCCCACCATCTTGAACAGGCAACCTTGTTGTTAGGAGCATCTGCTCTCACCAGTTGAGTGATCCTGCCGCCTGTTGGCAACTCAGTGGCAGCTCAGTTCGGGCGCAGCTCACTGGCCCATGTGGGAATGGAACCAGTGACCCTGTTGCTCAGAGCTCACACTCTTCAGCAAGCTCTTAACCAACTGAACCACTCGGCTGGCCTGATTCGGCTTTTTAAAAATATTGTGTGTCTCTTTGCTTATACCTTTTTCTCTCTATATTTCCCCTTCTTGTCCACAAAACAAGTCTTCTTAACCAGGATCTATAAACCCATAAAATTGTACATAAAAATTTGTGTATGCATGTGTAAATGCATTCCCCCTCCACCCCGTAAAGAACCCACCATATCTTCCAAGGGTCTGTGACCGCCCCACTTTTCTTTTCCTCCAGTTATCAAGATCCTTTCATTGCCCTAGATTTTAAGCTTCTGGGAGCAGAAAAGTCTTCTAATTATTTATTCTAGATATGGTGGAAAGAACCAGGCTTGGAATTGCCAAGCCTGAGTTTAAACCTTCCATCAATTATCTAACTATTCAATTTCCTGTTTAGTAAGTTTCTTTTAAGAAGTAAATGACTTAATATATGTAAAGTGCTTGGTCCTTAGAAGGAACTGAGACAATCAGCAACTAACTGGCTAATACATGAGGTACTTGTGTGGTTCCACATCACACCTTATAATGATTTGCTAAGGACTTAAAAGTAATAAAAGCAATCATAGTTCTCAGAACAAATAGATTCTCTTCTGAGTGCAACTGTCAAGCTGAAGTTCTGTGGATTATTATTTGTAGAACACACCAACACTGCAGGGTTACTGAATTTCAGACACTCAAGATAAATTAGTGTCTTAGGAATCCATTATTGGTGACCAAATATTGTCTAAGAATCCACCATCTTTACATCTCTCTGGATCCGTTGATATAGCATATCCTCAGACTCTAAATGTGAGAAACTCTTCTATTATAAGAGAAGAGGGGGTGTACTTTCACCTCCCACAGATTAAATGGTTAATAATGTTTTATCCTGCAAATGTATCCTGAAGGGCCTCTTCATTTAAAACCCCAGGTTAGGCATCCACTCATCTGCATAAGACATTAGGATATGAAATTTTCTGAGTCAAAACTCAAAATTGGGTTCTAACCCTGGCTTCTATGACTTACTTGTTTTAAAATCTTGGTCGAGTGAATTAATCTCTTTAGTCTCAGTTTCTTCACTTATAAAGTGACGTATAATAGTAGTATTTCCTTTATTGGTTTAAGAATTTAATGAGGTAAATTAGCACAGAGTACAAATGTTGTAAATAAATAGCTATATAGCTATTAACTATAATTATGATTAGCCTTTGCTAAATAGCTGCTTTAATACTGACCAAAAGTTGTTGAAGAATGTTTCACATCACTGTGATTATTCATTAAAAAACAAAGCAAAACAAATAAAAAAGTATAACAGAAAACAAACAAAAAAAACCTCTCAAAGAGCAAACAAACATGTACATAATTAGAACATAGAAAAAGGAAACTGAATCATAAAGTTTATCAGATTTATCCAGTTTAAGTCCAACTTTTGGTCTACAAACACAAAAGTTACTCTGTGATGTTAGTGAGTTGTGGCTGGTGGGTGGTTATTTACTTGGACCTCCCTCAGAGGTGGTGTTTACTTCTTGGAGCTCTGAGTAATTAGTCTCACACACATACTGAGATCAGCTTAAAAATGATTCAAGATCTAAGAAGACTTGTGTTCTCCATCTTCTCTCTTCACCCTGAGAAGAAAATGTAACCCAATTGTTAAGAACACAGGTCCTGAGGTTTGAAATACTGAGAAATGTGTATAAACTGTTCTTAGAACAGTACCTGACTCACAGTAAGTGCTTCATAGGAGTCAGGTGTTTTTCTATTTCTCATACTTCATATAAATTGGTTATGATACCATCTTTTGAAGATAATATTTATTGATCAATAATATTTACCGATCATTTACAATATGTACTGGGTGCTGCTCTAAGCACTTTTTAAGCATTAACGCTCATGTGCTTCTCACAACTACCCTATGAGATAGGTTCTATTGTAGTCCACATTTTAGTGTAAGAAAACCAAGACACAGGAAGATTAAGTAGCTTGCTCAGGGTTACACAACCATAAGTGGCTAAAGCCAGGTTTTCTGGCTCCAGAGCCCTTCTGTCCTCTACTCTATATTGCCTTGGCCTCAGTGGAATCAATGAGGGCAGCACACAGCTTCCTTAGCTTTTTCTTTCATAACAATGGTTGCCATTGTCCCTATTTGACTATC